AAGTGATAGTATTTGGAGGTAGTAGTAGTAGTAGCAGCAGCAATAGTAGTAGTAGTAATAGTAATTGTAACAGTAGTTGTAGTAGTAGCAGTAGTAGTAGTATTCGCTGTAGTAGAAATAGTAGTAGTAGCAGAAGTAGTAGTTGCTGTAGTAGTAGTAGTAGCAGCAGAAGCAGCAATAGTAGTAGTAGTAGTAGTATTCGGGAGTACTAGTAGTAGTTTCAGCACGGACCGGCCACACAAGCGAATAATTAGAATGTAAATGATGTTTCACTGAACGACCGAAATCTTATTACCAAGCCATCTGGCGTTAAATTTTTTTTAGTTTTTTCACATTTTGGTTTGTTTTTCACATTTTGCTTGCGGTTTTTTTGGGTTTTTTTCTTTTTTTATCGATTGTATTTTTGTTTGTTTTGATTATTTATCGTTGTATTTATCTATAAACACCACAGTTCAAAGGTAGTTTGTGTACATTCAGGTTGTATAATTGTATACTTATATAGTATGTAGTTTGTATGTAGATGTTCAAATGAGTAAACATACATGTATGTATGTAGGTTAGTATGTATGTATGTGTGCATGTATGTATGTGTGTGTATGTATGTGTGTATGCATGAACGTACGTATGTATGTGTGTACGTACGTATATGTATATATATATATGTTTGTTCGTATATATGTATGTATGTATGTATGTATGTATGTATGTATGTATGTATGCATGTATGTATGTATGTATGTATGTATGTATGTATGTATGTATGTATGTATGTATGTATGTATGTATGTATGTATGTATGTATGTATGCATACAAACATGCAGATGGGTAGATAGGAAGTAGATGCCTGTTTCAGCTCCAGTGAGTGCTCTCCAACACATGGACCTGGTGGAATTTTTTTAAAATTTGATAGGTTTAAGAATTTCGAAGAGGTATTTTTTGATGATAATGGTGACGACGACGATTATTATTATTATTATTATTATTATTACGATGATGATGATGAGGATGATGATGCTTTGATAGTCTCTTTAAATTGAAAAATTTCTTCCAACAGGTAGAAAGTATAAAGCAATGAAAATAATTTGAAACAGCAATTTAAACGTTATCACCAACAACATCATCATCAACAACTACTACAACAAACATCATCCTCAACAACATCAACAACATCATCAACATCAACATCATCATCAACATCAACATGTTGACAAAATACCCTGACGATCCACCACCCAAATATGAAGCGCACGATTCGTCACCGGCTCTAGCCCTGAGGCCAAATTATTTGGACTTGCAACAAAACGGCAACACTAATTTCTTCAACAACAACACTCGTAACATCAACAACAACACACGCAACATCATCAACAACACACGCATCAACAACAACAACAATTTTCAAAGTTTTTTACCTCTCAGCAACAGCTCAAATGAACTTTCGACGATCCACAACAACAACGACGCCAAATTTTTTATTTTCGATCGGAACCAGATTTTTTCTCAGGAATATTTGCGACAACAATTTCAACAACATCACCCAAACAACAAAAACGACAGCAACAACAAACTACATCAACAACAACAACAAATTTTAACGGAAAAACAACGATTATTCCTACAGCAGTACAACCAAAATCCATCATCTCACAACTTAGTAGTGCCGACAACAACACCAACAACACACGCCAAACAACATCCAAAAATGCCCAACAGCCACAGCAATAGCAGCAACATCTTACATTTGCAACAGCAACAACAACAACAAAATCGCAACATTTTTTCTCCAACTCAAACGCCGAGAGCCCAGCGATATTTCGCCAGTCCACTCAGTCCAAACCTCTTACTTCCAGATTTTACAACCCCACAACAGCCGAGAAAAAAATCGCAACAATTTCGACAACAAAAAATTCGCAACAACAACATCAACAACAACATCAACAAAACCAGAGAACAACATGACTTGCAACAAAGTTTATTATCGCCCATAAGTTACATGACGTCAGATCCATCAAATTATTCTGTGGCGACAATGATGACGACATCTTATAAGAGGTCGGAGACTGATTCGAGTTTTGTTGAATCATATGTTGACAACAAACACAACAACAACAACAACAATAACAACAACAACAACAACAAACCTAGCAAAAACACCAACAATAGTTTCTACAAAGCCAACTATCAGCAACAACAGCAGCAGCAACAACAACAACAGCAATGTTGCAAATTCCCACATTACGAGAATCAACATTTTAGGAACATCTCGTCCACGTCAGCCAGGATCAACAAACCACTTCCGCCAACTCCAACATCGCAACATTCCAACAACAACAATAATAATAATAATATCGCCACAAAATCGCCACCAAAGATATCAAAAACATCAACACCTAAATCCCCATTATCATCGCCGGAAAAAAAATCAAATAAACCAAAGACAACTTACTGCCGGAAACACGTGACTTTCTACGTTAAAGTTCTATGGCTCTCATTATCGCTCATAATCACATTATCGTCCATTTTTAGTTACGTGCAACATAATTGGTACGTAAACAAACACACTGGGGCCAGTTTAGGGATGTTCGGGTATTGCGTTTATAGGGATGTAACTCATTCCCAGCCGCCCATTTCTTTTGCTAATGTCAACAATAACAACAACGACAAGAACCACTATGATGATGATGACGTCAATATACAAAGAAATGAAAATGTTATATTTGGCATGGTTGATAACAAAGAAAATGTTGTTGGCACCGATGATGGTGATGATGCAGCTGATGATAATGACGTCAAAGTGGGTAATAGTAATGATTACGCCGACGACGACGACGATGATGATGATGCTGATGGCGGTGATGATGATGATGATAGTGAAATCGGAGATGTTATTTTCTTAACCGGCTGGCAAAATGTTGACGAGTTGAGCGGAAACAACAACAACAACAACAGCAGCAGCAGCAATAATAGCAATAATAATAATAATAATAATAACAACAATAACAATAACAGTGATAATGACAACGATGAAGAAGAGGATGATGACGTAATGACGAACAAAAGACACAGAAACCCCCTTTCCTCAAGAAGTAAACAGAAAAATCAAAGAAATAATTTTATAAATAGTAACAACAACAACAATAATAATAATAACTTTATAAATAATAATAATGATAACAACAACAAAAACAACAACAACACGAATTTTAGTAAAAAACATATCAACAAAAAACACCGAAAACAACGACATATACACAAAAAACAACAACAACATCAACAACAACATCAACAACATCAACAACTACAACACCAACAGAAACAACAACAACAACCTCAACAACAACGATATTGCAACTATTACGGCGACTCGCTCAACATTCAAAATCTCCCGTCGAACCTTTGGCGAATCGGTTGCATATTATTTGGTATCGGTACCGGTTTGTTTGTAGTTGGTACGGTCTGTGCGGCCATTAGTTATACTCTGACCTGGGCGGTTTGTATTGGAGGGAGAGTCCGGAAAAATTTGGTATTCGTTGTTGGATACGTCCAATTGCTGGGAGGTATGTTTGTTCGTTTGTATGTTTGTTTGTTCGTGTATTTGTTTGTTTGTATGTTTGTTTGCTTGTGTGTTTGTTTGTTCGTTCGTGTGTTTGTTTGTATATGTGTATATTTGTTTGTTTATTTGTATGTATGTTTGTATGTATGTTTGAGTACTATTACATGTGTCTGTCCTTTGATTTTTCTTAGTTTTGTGTGTTTAGTTTTTGAGATTTTTAATGATTAGATTATTTCTTGCAGACAATTTATCACTAGTTAAACGTACTAAAGAAAGTTAAACGTATCTTTGCTTGCCTTTTTTTACGCTATATTCTCTCTTTCTTTCTCTCTCTCTCTTCTTTTTATTTTTCCTATAAAAGCGTGTACACTCTCTCTCTCTCACACACACACACACACACATACACACACACACACATACACACACACACGCACGCGCACACACATATATACATACACACACAAACGCACGCGCACACACACACATGCCAAGAACGTATCCAAGCGATTTTATTTTAAAAAGATGCTAAGATTAACGTATCAATCTCAGGAGCCATTAAAATTCCTCGGTACACATACACACACACACACACACACACACACACACACACACACAGACATACATACATACATACATACATACATACATGCATGCATGCATACATAAAAATGTTCTTTTTTTGCTCCATCTTATCCATCTATTCTTTTCCATATCGTTAGTTTCCAAGTTGTTTTCCCATGGAGACTGTAGAACGGAGCAGTCATCTTGTGTGCTTGCATGTACGTGTGTGCGTGTACGCGCGTGTGTATGTGTGTGTGCGTGCGTGTGTGTGTGTGTGTGTGGCTGTATTTTATATGTTAAATATCTATCATACCGTAATCATTCATTTAGAAGACCTTCATCGACTTATCATTTTTTCAATTTCACATCCATTCATTCACTTACTCATTCATTCACTCACTCATTCATTCACTCATTCACTCATGCATTTATTGCTCACTGTGTCACACAAGCTTGATTGTAATGAAGCCCGCGGGCAGTATAATTTCTTACTTGCTTCAGTGGGTACTGTGCGAGAAGATGGAGAAGAAGAAGATGGTGTATTCATTCACTCATTCATTCACTCGTTCATTCAGTCGTTCATTCACTCATTTAATTGTTTATTCGTTCATATGCTTGTTCGTTTTTCATCCATTCATCCTTTCATTCACTCATGTATTCATTCATCTGCTTATTCATTTGCTAAAACTTTGACCCTTTTTAACTAACATCATCGTCATCATCGCCATCATCGTCATTATCATCGTCGTCGTCATCATTATCATCATCACCATCTTTCTCCTAACAATATTGGAGAAAAGAAGGAGAAATGCCTTTTGTTCACACGTCAATAACAAACTGCCTAATTGTTCGTTCTTTCGTTCGTTCATTCGTTCATTTGTTTTTTCATTCATTCATTCATTCCTTTTTCTGCACGTTCATTCGTTCGTTTGTTTGTTAGTTCATTTGTTTGTTTTTTTTGGTTCGTTTGTTTGTTTGTTTGTCCATTATTTCATTCATTTATCATTCATTCAGTTACTTGTTTATTCGTTCGTTCATTTATTCGTTCTTTCACTCACTGACATTTACGTTTATCTTTCTTTCCGTTCATTCATTCATTCATTCATTCATTCATTCATTCATTCATTCATTCATTCATTCATTCATTCATTCATTCATTCATTCATTCATTCATTCATTCATTCATTCATTCATTCATTCATTCATTCATTCATTCATTCATTCATTCATTCATTCATTCATTCATTCATTCATTCATTCATTCATTCATTCATTCATTCATTCATTCACTCACTCACTCATTCATTCATTCATTCACTCATTCATTTATTCACATTACCAAATTAATAAAAATACTCTGCTTATAATAATAAAAAAAAATCTCTCCTCATTGGTGCATGGGTCAGATGACATACACGATGACGTCACAGCAGTAGCCGCAGCTGTAAACAATTGAAAATAAATTGACTTTTTTGCTCGTGATATGTCGTTTTGTTGCCTCTGTTGAGCAGTAGTAATGGTAGTAGCAGCAGTAGCAGTAGTAGTAGCAGCAGTGGTAGTAGCAGCAGTAGCAGAAGTAGTAGTAGTAGCAGTTGTAACAGTAGTTGTTGTAGAAGTAGTAGTAGCAGTAGTAGTAATTGCAGTAGTAGAAATTGTAGTAGCAGCAGCAGCAGCAGTAGTAGTAGTAGTAGTAAGAGCAGCAGCACTAGCATCCATAATAGTAATGGTGGTATTTTTACTATTTAGTTGTAAGGAAACTAAATTCTTAAAATTTATTAAACCAAAAATAATAAAAACCTAAGAGAACTAATAAAAATGCGTTAAAGCATTTTCACACGCAATTACATCCCTACAGCAATCCGCCCAGTGCTGTTTTATTACGTCATCAGAGCAACGTGACGTCATTTCATATATATATATATATATATATATATATATATAGGCTTATTGGATGTACGGTTGTTTCTATAGAAACCAAATGATTGTTTGATGAACGGTGTGAATTCTGGCATCATCATCATCATCATCGTCGACATCATCATTATCAAAACCAACACCATCATCATCACAACCATCATCATCATCACAATCATCGTCATCACAATCATCATCATCATCACCAAATACATCATTTATTAGGCACGTGCGTTCTAAAGAAAAAAAATCAAGAAAAAACACACACACACATGAGACAAAGAGACATAGGAAGAGGAAGAGAGAGAGGAGAGAGAGAGTAGGAGAAAGAAAGAGAGAGTGAAATAGAGAGCAAAAAAAAAAGACGGAAAATAGAAAGAGAGGGAAAGAGAGAGAAGGAAAGAAAGAAACAATACTGATAAAAGAGAAAAGCAAAGAGAGAGAGAGAAAGAGAAAGAAAGAGAGACAAGGAAAGAAAGAAACAATACTGATAAAAAAGAAAAGCAAAGAGAAAGAGAGAAAGAGAAAGAAAGAGAGAGAAGGAAAGAAAGAAACAATACTGATAAAAGAGAAAAGCAAAGAGAGAGAGAGAGAAAGAGAAAGAAAGAGAGAGAAAGAGCGAGAGAGAGAGAGAGAGAGAGAGAGAATAATATATGGATGCGTTTCAATTGGAATACCATCTGTCGCTAAAATAAAAAGATGCCCGGTGCATGTAAATGTGCGTGTCTGTGTATGTATGTATGTATGTATGTATGTGTGTGTGAGTGTATGTGTGTGTGTGTGTGTAACTTTGTGTCAATATGCCTTGGCTAGTTTCCGAGTTTATATGCTTGGATATGTGTTTGTAGCCAGCCAAACATTAAATTCAATTAGAACATCAACAACTACTACATCAACATCAACAACAACATCAACAACTACTACTACAACAACATCATCATCAACAAAACAAACACAACAACCTCATCAT